TCTCTACACACTTGGAGAAGGGTTCGGTGACCAGGAAGAATTAGAGAGCAAGGTGTTCGGCCTGATTTGAAATCAGAGAAAAGGATTTCGAAGTTATCTCATAGAGCAAGGTGTTCGGCCTGGTTTGAAGTTCAAATCAGAGATTCTCTTACTGTAAGTTTTCTCAGTTTTTTGCTGGGTTATTTTTGTTGCTTGGGAGGACTGTTAAAGCATTCAAACCCCTCCTCCATTCTGCCCTACTGTTGCTGGACTGATTCAACTCAGAAATTTCTGGGTTATTTTGGAAGAGCAGTTCGACTGTTATTGGACTGCCAAGCTGCTGAAACTGATTTGGACTAAATGGTACTAGTCTCATTTTCAGCCCAACCTCTTCTTGGACCTATACAGAACACTATTGAAGTGGTTTCTTCTAGTTAACATTAGGCTGTTAACTACTACACACTGAGTATTTGACAAAAGGTCTCTTAAGGACTGTGGACTTTTTTTCCTTCTCTTTGGGACAACGGTTGTTGGGGACCTGAAATACTTTGTGATTGGGGGTTTGCTGGTTGTCCCTTGAAGGTTGAAACAGTATAGAAAGAGCTACCACCGAGCTGGACTGTCACAGTTATCAAGATTGAACTGATTCTGTGAGCTGGTTGTTGTTGCCTATTCAGCTCAAACTAAGCTCATCAAGAACCCCAGTACTTTGGAAAACTTATTAAAATCTTAATTGGAGCCTTTGCATGATGAATTTCTCAAACCTTGAAAACAAGAATGCTGCTGAATATGGACAGACTTTGGGAATCCCAGCCGATTCTATGTTGGCTGTAACTACAGTTAAACTTGATGGGACCAACTACTTGGCTTGGTCACAATCAGTGAAAATCCATATTTGTAGCAAAGGAAAATGGGGTTTTATTCCTGGGAGCAAGAAAGCTCCTCCAGAGGATGATCCATCTTATGAGAGATGGATGCAAGAAAACTACACAGTGATTAGGTGGCTTGTGAATTCAATGCAGCCACAGATTAGTCAGCATTATCTTTGGATGAACTCGGCTAAGGAAATCTGGGATAGTGTTGCAGAAACTTACTCCCAGAAGTTGAATGTTGCCAGAGCCTACAAACTGAGAAGTGATGTGAAGAATCTAAGGTAGGGGGAGAAGTCACTTGCAACATACTTCTCAACCCTGAAATCTCTATGGCAAGAGATTGATTTGATAGAGGTTGTGACATGGGATACCCCTAATGATGCTGAAACATACAGGAAATTAGTTGAAAGGAACAAGGTCTTTGAGTTCTTGATAGGGATGAATTCTGAATATGACATCACAAAGCAAAACATTTTGTCCAAGGAAGATGTTTCATTGTCTCAAGCATATGCTTTGATCAACAGTGAAGAGAGTAAGAGGCAAGTGTAGGTTCAAGGAGTCAGTATCAATGATCATTTTGCAAATATGGGAATTAAACCCAAAGGGGTTACTGGAGCTCCCAGTGGCACAGGAAAGAAGGAGGTGGTGTGTGAATATTGCAAGAAGCCGAAACACACCAAGGACAAGTGCTGGAAATTGCATCCCAGTCTTGTCCCTATCCGATTCCAGAAGAAGAATGATAGTAGAAAGACAGGAAGTGTACATGCAGCTACAAGTACAGATACAGAGGTTGAGTATGCCAGTGCACAGTTGGCAGCCATGAAAGCTGAATATGAGAAGTTTGGAAAGATGATCAACCAGCTTGAAGGTGTAACTTCATCATCCAACCCTTCTGGAAGTCCAGCCACCACCGCATTTGCTCACTCAGGTACAAGGGCTTCTGCTAACCATGCATCCACCTCAGGTAATCCCAAGACCCCTTGGATCATTGACTCAGGTGCTTCTGATCACATGACCAACCTTTCCACTTTGTTTGTTTCATATGATTTGCTTCCTGGTCATGACAAAATCACCTTAGTTGATGGTTCTCTTGCCCCTATTTCTGGTAAGGGAACTGTCAAGCCTACAGACTCCTTACTCTTATCTTCCACTCTTCATGTACCTAAATTAAATACCAACTTATTATTTGTAAGTAGCTTGACCAAGTCATTGAATTGTTGTGTAACCTTTTTCCCTTCTCACTGTGTGTTTTAGGACCTGAAGTCTCGGAAGGTGATTGAGAGTGGCCATGAAGCGAATGGAATATACTTGCTCGACACCCCTGGCCAATGCTTTGATCATCCCAAGAATGTTGCTTTTGGTTCTACTTCTTCAGAGTCTGTCAGTCAAATTATGTTGAGTCATTGTCGGTTGGGTCATTTACCTTTTTCTGC